TGTTAACATACATACACTTAATGGGAAAACCAGAAGGAGAAGAAGAAGAAACAGAAGAAATATCTGAAATAATAATGATTGAGAATTTCTTCCAAATTCCAAACCACAATTTGAGAAGCTCAGAGGCAAGCAGGAGAAATATCAAAAACGAAGAAAACAGAACAAACAAAACAAACAAAAAACACCTAGGCATATCATTTTTAAGTTACTGAACATCAAAGATTTACACACACACACACACACACAAAACCAACTATCATAAGCCAAGGCAAAAAAAATCTCTTACCTACGGAAAAGCAAGTAATTACATCTGACTTCTTATAAACCGTGTAACCAAGAAAAGAGTGGAGTAAAGTGTTAAGAGATTCTTTACCATGAAAAATTATCCTGAAAATGTGGAGAAATAATTTTCTAAGACACACACACACACACACACACACACACACACACACACACACACAATCGAAGGAATTTATTTGCCAGTAGACTTGCCTTGTAAGAAATATTAAAAGTTCTTTAGAGAGAAGATTACACAGGTCAGAAAATCTGCTCTGCATAAAGAAAGGATGTGCATCAAGGGAATAAGGTAAAATAATTTCTTCTGATTTTTAATAGATCTAAATAGGTAATAGTTTATTTTAATAGCAGCAATGTATTTTATTATGTATATATGTGTATGCATGCATGCATATATGTAAAGTGAAACAAATGATATCAATGATAGCAGGAACAAAAGGAAGGAATTAAGTTTTGTTATTGTAAGTTATTCACATTACTTGTGAATAGTTTGTTTTATCTGAAAATGAACTTGGATGGATTAGTTGAAAATGTATATGACAAACTCAAGGTCATCCAATAAAAAAAAATGAAAAAAGAAGTGTAGCTAGTATTACAAGAAAAGAGAAAAGAGTCATATAAAATGCTCAATTAAAACAGTAAAAGTTGGGGCCACAGTGGTTAAGGCACTAGACTCCCTTGTGGCCAATCACAGTTTGAGTCCAGATCTGGCAGCTTGAAAATCATGCCAGGTCTGTATGCATGTGTCCCTACAGAGAAGGGACTGCAATGTGGCTATCCCCACTGGGGGGTGATTTCTCACTTTCCCTCTCACTAATTTTGTCTCTCTCTGGAGAACACATGGGCCCTAAGACAAAAACCTAAAACAACAACAACAAAAATCTGTATAAGTCAGATAAAGAATAAAAGACAAAACAGGAACAAAGAACAAGGGCAACAAATTGAAAACAGTATCCATAAATACAGTATTGGGTCACAGGAAAAGTCATGACTGTGTTCTCTATGCAAAAATGTGTCACAACTTTCCCAATGATCCAACAGATATTTACCTAACTGTATCAATAATCACTTTGAATGTCAGTGGTCTAAATGTACAAACTAAAGACAGAGATTAGACCACCCCTTCCCCTCCACCCCGTATCCTTGTGGTTAGGGGAGCCATATGCCACATGGTTGACCACAGTTCAAATCCTGGCTCTGGCAGCTTGAGAGACATGTCAGGTGTGCGTGCATGCCCCAAATCCCAATAGGATAGAGAAGTGAAGGAGAAGGGACTGTAGCATGAACATGCCCCATGGGGGAGAGGGAACTTTCTCCCCTGCACTCTGTCTCTCAGCCAAGTGCAAACCCTCTAACAATTAAAATGAATGAACGAATGGATGAATATATAAAAACAGAGATTGTCAAGAGTGGATTAAAAGGAAAAAACACCCAACTATACGTCATCTAGAAGAAGGCCACTTTAAATATAAAGAGACATATAGATTAAAAGTAAATGACTGGAAAAAGAAAAATAAATTTACTGTTGTTAAGATATCAACCCTAGCCATTATTCTGTATGCTACTATAATGATAAATATATGCCATTATACATTTATCCAAGTTCATAAAATGTACATCAAGAGTGAATCCTAATGTTAAAAATAATGAACTCTGGGTGATAATGATGTGTTCAACTGTAACAATTGTACAACTCTGGTAAGGTAAGGGATTCTAATAATGGGGGGGGGGGGCTAGTCGGGGGTGGGGCAAAGGATATATGGGAATTCCAGAACTACACAGTTGGCCATGTGGGATCCAGCTGCCTTAACCACCATGCCACTGGCTCTGTACTTCTTGTTCAATTTTGCTGTGAATCTAAAACTGTGGTTTTTTTTTTTTTATATAAAGCTTTAAAAAATGGCTGATATCATTAGTCATTAGGGAAATACAAGTTAAAACTACAATAAGATTCCACTATCTACCTTTCAGAATGACTAAAATGATAAAGATCAATCATAACAAGTGTTGATGAGGATATAGAACAACTGGAGCTTTGATTCACTACTGATGATACTATAAAGTGGTACCACTATTTTGGAAAGAAAAACATACGCCTACCAGATGAATCAATGTCAAATTTGATGGTTTTTTTTTTTTTTGGAGAGGTTTTCGCTATAGGGCGCGTGCGCTCGCCAGACAGACAGAGACATAGAGACAGAAAGCGAGAAATCACCCCCCAGGGGGGATGGTCACGCCGCAATCCCTTCTCCTCCATTCTCCTCTCGGGATCTTGGGCACGCACGCACACACGCCTGGCGTGAGATTTAAGCCACCGGGTCCGAGACGCGAACCGCGGTCGACTACGTGGGAGTCCAGCGACATAGCCATTACGCTAACTGCTGGTTCCCAAATTTGATGGTTTTATAGTTAATTCTAGAAAATGCAACTAGTGAAAGATAGTTTTGGGTCATTGGGAAAGTCATAAGCATTTCTGCATAGAAAAACATAGAAAAATGCATCATGGCTTTCCCAAAGACCTAACATATCAGTGTTTGCCTAGGAAAAGAAGAGGGCACCAGGGAAAGCACAGGAAGCACTTCTTGGTTATGGGAATGCTCATTACCCTGTTATGAGCAATACACAACTCATCGAACTGAGTAGGGAAATCAATGAGGAATGGATAAGTCAGCAAAACAATTCTATAATGTAATGATTATTCCCTTAACTCTTTTTAATTGAAGGGAAATAAAACTCACAGAAAAGCTGGGGTATACTTACATATGTGGTGTTTACTGGACATCAATTATGCCTCACTAATGTTTTATGGAAGAGGGAGGAGGAGGAGGAGAATGCTGGAGTCCTGAGGACAGGGTGAGTATTCTTTTTTTTTTTTTTTAAATAGCTTTAAATGCCCCTTTTACAAAGAACCAATTTCTCCTAAAATTAAACTTTACAGACATTATTTTGGATGTTACATATCTACTATCTTTTGTATAAAGTCTACCATCAGTACAAGATTTAGATCATTTAAACTGAATTTGAAATTCAAATTGTTTGCTTTGGATACCTTTACTTTTTGTCATTAGGAGGATTCTTATTCCTTCGATAAAACATCTAATTTTTATTTTTTTCAGAAATCGGTTTTAAATGACTAATATTCCTCTTGCCACCATGAAATCCAATGGACTCCAGTACCACTCCAATTTTTTCCAGTGTTTGGTCATTTCCAAGCCACTAGCCAGTTATTGTTGGGTTAACAAAGAAGAACTAACCAAATGAAATTGTTGTAAACCAGTATTCTTCATTTAGGTTTAGAAAATGGCTTTTAGAGAGGAGAAATTCACTTCAAGCAAATTCAAGGTGGCAAATTTAATATTTAGTTACAAGAAAACAGACATGACTTGGCTTTTTTTCCTTTATAAATACTTGCTCGATTCCTTTTTGCCAAAGAATTATTTAAAGCAGTAAGCTCCATCAAAGGATAAAAGTGAATTCCGTTATGGAATACCTCTTTATTTTCCCAGTTAAGTAGCTATTTCTGATTTTGCCATATTTTGACAACAAAGTTACTGTGCATGCTGTGCCTTATACCATTAGAGGTCTAGCATTCCTGACGAACTGCATTTCGTGGTCACTGTGATGACCAAATGCTTCCCCACAGTTCCAAATGGCCTTGGCAAGTGGGGTGGAGTGAGAGCACAGAACCTGGTTAAGAACACTAAGACCATAATTACATGGTATGATAATAAAAATAAAAACGAAAATTATTTTCCCAATAGGTTTGCTTTTGCAGTCCCATTGCCAATGACATCTGACACCTCATGTAACTGGTCCACAAACCTTTTTTCATTTACTCACTCCTTGTCCACTTTCATGGCTACTACTCCATGGTGAGGTCCTTACAACCTTACATGAGAATAACAGAGTTTCCTGTCTGACCTGTTCTTAGGCTTTCTTTTCTCTAAGCCATTGTTTCACACTTGCATATTTATTTTATCATCTCCAAGTCACTCATTCCATCTTCAGCAGGGATAAAGTTTAAATCCTCCTAGCTTCTAAGATTCTCAAATATGGCCCTCACTGCCCATGTCCACATTTTAGCCCTCTTCACCTCTCCCTCTTTCCAGACTGTCTTACTTTCAACTCCAGCATTAATGACCTATCTCTGTACTTTTACCAACACTTCATCCTATAAACCCTCTTCTGCTCCACCCAAATAGATATGATTAACTTTTTTTTTTTTTTTTTGGAGAGGTTTTTGCTATAAGGCGCGTGCGCTTGTCAGACAGACAGAGAGAGACAGAAAGCAAGAAATCACCCCCCAGGGGGGATGGTCACGCTGCAATCCCTTCTCCATTCTCCTCTCAGGATCTTGGGCACACATGCACACGCGCCTGGCGTGAGTTTAAGCCACCGGGTCCAGGACTCGAACCACAGTTGACTACGTGGGAGTCCAGCAACATAGCCATTACGCTAACTGCTGGTCCCTGATATGATTAACTTTTTAGGAGCTACTTGGATTGTACATTCTCTGTGACACCTTTTCTAATCAGGGCCTCTTATCTCAGCATCAACATAAAAGTGAGTTTAAAACAGAATTAATAGAAAGCCATGAAAGGTACACTGATGGTTTAGAGAAAAATATAATCTATATTTAAAAACTAAAATAAAATTTTAAAAGCCCGTACTCTGTTGAAAATAGGTGTATAAAATAGCCTTACCGGTTTCACTATTTTCAGGCAGAGATTCATATTCAGAGTGATCCAGAGCCAAAGTGTTCATGTGTGTCTGGTCTGAGTCCTGTAAATCTGGTAATGCTGCATTCTCATGCTGCTTGTCTCCACTACCATTGGCATCCAGTCCTGTAATCAGGAGTTTGAGCCCAAAAGACAGGGTTAGAAGAATAACCGTTGAAAACAAAACAAAGCTCTCAAAGTTACTCAGAGTCGAGCTGGACTACAAAAGATCTCCAAGCTCTTAAGTACTACAACAATCAGAAAACACATTAAGTATCAGTCGCTCCTTAAAGACTGACGAAGATGGACTCAAGCCACCAGAGAGTAGAGCAGCTCCTTGTCCATGCCTGCTCACAACTTACCCTGTTGGCCACGGTCTGTGTGATGGCTGGGTGCTTGCTCCCACGTGGCACTCACAGTTTCAGCAGCACTACTCGCATCCAGATGTAACATATGCGTGCCCCATACTTTTGCATTAGGGTTTAGCTCTGAAACCTTAGTAGTTGGAACCTAGGAAAAAATGTGATATATACATTTGTGCCAAAATTTCAACCAAATGCAATTTTACATGCTAATGCAAAAATTAAAAAGCTTTTTTTGTTAAGAGAATCCAGGTTTAAAAGGCTATGTTTATTGATACTTACCTTTGGGATGAAATCAGGTAAAAAAGTAACAAAATCTGATTTAGTCAGAACTCTAGTCAATTCAATATTAGATTCTTAAGTTCTGAATTTCTAAGCATAAGCTTAGAAATTAGCTTCTTTAGAAGCTGGGGAATGACAGATTCCCCTTCCTTCACAGGGATTTCAATGTCCCACAAACTGTAACTGGTACGCATTATGATTTCCTAAGATTCCTAATGATACAGTCACAACTCAAATTCAAATACAATGGAGAATAGAATAGATTTTAACTATAAAACTTCAAACACATTAGCAAAAGTTGTATAAAATCAAAATTCCTTCTAGGAGCAAAGGTCTGACAGGTCATTGGAACTAATATTAATATCAGAGAGAACTAGAGCATATGCTGAGTAAGAAGACAGAATATCTCCTATTTTCAGCAGAAAGTTTCAACATCACCTTCGGAGCTTTTTCGAAACACAAATTCCCAGTCTTACTGAAGCAGAATCTACAAGTGGTTCTGATACTATTAGTCTAGTGTTCTAGGCATGGGCTCTCAGATCACCGGGCCTGTGCCCAGTTTGGACATAAACAGCTGTTTCATTTGGGGCTGTGACCCCTGAAAACCTCACCTGGGAAGTGGGGGCTCTCAGATCACTGGGCCTGTGCCCAGTTTGGACATAAACAGCTGTTTCATTTGGGGCTGTGACCCCTGAAAACCTCACCTGGGAAGTGGGTTTTGTAGTTACTATCTTATAGAGTTGCTGCAAGAGTACACTTCAAGCACCCAGCTTGGTGCCTGTTATGTCCTGGGCACTTCTGAAACTGGGAATTTGCAGGTGGTTATTACAATAAAGGGTGTTCAATGAGTGAGACTATGGCAGTCCTCTGTTCACACAGAGTAGAATGGTGTCCTTCCTGTGGCCAAATGCTGTATCACGGGATCACTACCCTCAGTCTTGCTCATTTCTAGTCCTCCTGGTCTCTTTGCTAAACAGTTCAGCAAGATTATTCTTTCTGTCCTGGCTGCACAGAACACATTTCCTAGATAGCCTCAAGGTTTGCTCCTTCATTTCCTTAGGGGATGGGTGGTCTTTCTAGATACACCTTACAAAGCCCATAATAGTTCTTGTGACATGGGTGTGCCCCATTCCTGTTTTCTGATATAAGCCATGTTTCCATTGCTTACACACCCTGAACTGCTTTCCAAGGTCTACAGTAAAGCCACACTTCTCAGTGGCAGCACTAACTCCAGTTCTGTCACCACGATCCTTTAATAAACCCAGACAAAGTATCTACCTTTTCAAATGTAATACCAGCCTTCACAAGGGGCAGGAAGTCAAAGCTTTCTAAGGAAGGAATAAGGTCTTGTCTCTGCTACCCTAGGGTACAGCACAGGTCCTGCCAGTTACTATGAAAAAGGTCAAGAAACACCATAATGAACCACTAAGGAAACAGTATGTAGATGAACAATTATAAAAAGATAGAATACGGGCCAGTAGGTGGTGTGGTGGTTAAAGTGCTAGACTCCCACATGGCCAAAGCAGTTCAAGTGCTAGACCCAGAGGTTTGAAAATCATGCTAGGTGTGTGTGGATACATCCATGCCAAAAATCCTGCGAGGAGAATAGTGGAGAAGGGATTGCAGTACGGTGATCCCCTCTGAGGGGTGATTTCTTACTGTCCTTCCCTGTCTCTCTCCAGAGTGCACATGCACCCTATGGCAAAAACCTTAATAAAGAAGAAAAAAAAAAAGACTAAGCCCATACTGCTCAGATGATGAGGCTGGCAATTAAAAAAAAGAAAAAAAAAGAAAAACCTATTTCTTTCTTTAAAAAAGAATGATTTATTCACTGTTATTTAAAAAAATAAATTAACCAGGGGAAGTGAGTGAGAAGGCAAGCTGCAGGATTTGGGATGGAACCGTGGTCAGCCACGTGGGGATCCAGTGCCTTAACCACCACACCACTTGCTGATCCAAAACAAAACTATTTCTGAAACTGAGAGTAAAAGGCTGATGTGGATAATGCTATAGTACACACTTTGCTCATAGGACAACCCTTATTTTGGGCTCTTAGTAGTCATTACTCAATAATAACTACACACCATGATCACAAAACCAGAGGCTTATGTGAGTTAACTACTGTTTGGAATTATTTTTATCTTTTAAAGTACTGATAAAGAATAGGGTTTCCCTTCTCTTTCGAGAATATTAAACACTGCTTCTTCAATTACATCCTGATTTTCTATCTAAACCTCCAGTTTGTTTTCGGCTTCTGCTTCTTTAGCTTCTCTCTTCTCTCTCACCTATCTCATCTATTCAGCAAATATAGCCTACATGATCACTAGAATGCCTGCCAGGCACAGTGCAATGCAATAAGGATGTGATGGTGAACAGAATGGAGCAAAGTGAGAGGTGCAGAAGACACTCCATATTTCATAAACCTTACTACCTTTGTTACCATTTGTACCTTTTGACCTGTCTGGCTGGTTTAAAAAATTCACTTCTCTTTTCACCTTCCTGCTCTAATAATTATGTAAGCTGTCTTTTTAAATTGGACCCAGTTTTTTTCTATAACCCAATGACATACAATCAAGCTTTCCTATGACTGTATCACTAAGACTCAGTATAGTCCTGAACTTAGCAGGGAGATGCTTAAGAAATGTGTCGAATTAACATTTAATAAAGTGATAATACAGAAATTTTCATTTCTATTATTTGAGAAACTATGCAAGGTTTTATGCCATAAAGGAATAGGATCGTACCCTAGAGCAACTGCTAACTCTTAAGTAGTAAACACATCCAAATCAAGTATGAAGAATCTAGAACAACTTTAGGTGGTTAATCAATATTCAATAAATACCCTGACATAAGAGATGTGAACAAGGATAAAAGGACGGAGATATCTATCTGAGAACTACTAAATCATTGCAAAATACATAATGTATTTTTCTATGCAAAAATGTGTCATGAATTTCCCAGTGACCCAATAACATGACAGCTAACATTTGAGAGATAAATATGTGTTGGGCATATTCTATGCAATTACCTGTACTGATTCCAAATAAACCTACAAGGTAATCATTACTATTCCCATTTCACAAATAAGAAAATCAAGGTAGAGAAAGGTTAAGTAACTTGCCCACAAAAATTATGGTGATTAGGGACCAGCAGTTAGCGTGATGGCTATGTTGTTGGACTCCCAAAGAAGTCGACTGTGGTTCGCGTCCCGGACCCGGACCCGGTGGCTTAAACTCACGCCGGGCGCGTGTGCACGTGTGCCCAAGATCCCAAGAGGAGAAGGGATTGTGGCATGGCCATCCCCCCTGGGGGGGTGATTTCTTGCTTTCTATCTCTCTGTCTCTCTCTGGCTGGCTGGCGAGCGCACACGCCCTACAGCAAAAAACCTCTCCAGATAAAAGAAAAAAAAAATGATGGTGATTAGAAAACCGCATTTTAGGAGCCAGCAGGTAGTACAGTGGTCAAGGTGTTGGACAGTCACAGTCTGGGATTGGCAGCTTGAAAATCACGCCAGATGTGTGTGTATTGTGTGCCTAAAAATCCCAGGAGGAGAATGGAAAAGGGACTGCAATGTGGCCATCCCCATTGTGGTGTGATTTCTCACTTTTCCTCTGTCTCTCTCTGGCTCTTCCTGGCAAGTATACACACCCTATATCAAAAACCTTAAAAAAAAAAAGGAAAAAAAAAGAGAAAAAGAAAAAGTGCACTTTTTTTTTTTTTTTAAAGAGATTTTTGCTATAGGGCATGCATGCTTGCTGGAGAGAGAGAGAGACAAAGAGATAGAGAGAAATCACCCCCCAGGGGAATGGCCACACTGCTCCTTCTCCTCCATTCTCCTCTTGCGATTTTGGGCGCATATACACACATGCCCGGCATGAGTTTCAAACCTCTGGGTCTGTACTCAAACCGTGATTGGCACGAGGGGTGATGATGCAACCATTATGTCATCTGCTGGTCCCAAGAAAACCACATTCTAATATCAGCAAAAACAAAACATTTATCAAGAGTTCATTAACGTCTCATAATCCACATGAGAAATAGCTTCCATTTAAGATCTAAATCTACCTCCATAACTGTAAAACATGTTTATTCTCTTGTCATATGAAATTCTAAATGATTATCAAGAAATCTAGTTTCATCTGCTTGATATATATGTCTTCCTTTTCAATGGAAAATTTATAGTTAAGCAGTAGTTATTAAAACAAGAAGCAAATGGACCTTACCATCCATGTTCTGAAATAATTTTTTTTTGAGAGTTTTTTGCTATAGGGCACGTGTGCGAGACAGAGAGACAAAAAGAGAGAAATCCCCGCCACCCCCCCGGGTGAGATGGCCACGCCACAATGGCCTTCTCCATTCTCCTCTCGGGATCTTGGGCACGCACGCACATGCACCCAGTGTGAGTTGAAGCTGCCAGGTCCAGGACTCAAACCGTGGTTGACTACATGTGAGTCCAGCAACATAGCCATTACACCAACTGCTGGTCCCTGAAATGATTTTATAGTCTTCTCTTTGGAGAGTGGAACATGTTCTGATGCTCTTATTTAAAAAAAAAAGCGCATTGATTCATAAACTAATGTCAGAGAAAGTTATCAGTTAAGCGTATAGAGAGGATATACTATAGATGAAATAAGGGGAAGAAGCACTCCAGGTTAAAACTTACCATTCCTGCAGTTGCACTGACAAAAGCTTACTAATGCAGAGCAATTCACTGACTACACAGCCATGCAAGCATTAGCCTCTGACTCTTTAACTGTGAAATCGTATAATAGCTGTTATATGTCTTAGTATAAAAAAAGATGTCTGTAACAACACAATGAAAGCTGGAGTTTTGGAAAGCAAGGCATAAGTATTAAATATGGAGAT